CGCTCTTCATTTTTCTCATTTAATCCTCATCACAACCCTATGAAGTAGGTACCATCATTATCCCCACATTACAGATGGAGAAACTGAGGTACAGACAGATTAAGCAACTTGCCCAAAGTCACACCACTAGTAAGTGGTAGAGTCAGGATTCAACCCCAGGTAGTCCAGCTCCGCAGCCTGTGCTTTAAAGTAATACACTCTATTGCAAAAGCATTCCCCTAGAAAAATTACAGAGCCCATGCAATCAATCACTCTTTTGCAAGACCAGGAAACCTGTATCATTTTACTATTGCCAAAGCTCCAAATATGTAATTCGAAACACCAGAACCTTACCACACGCAATGATCTCACTCCAACAACATCCAGGAAAGAGACAGCTCCACAGTCAAGCACGAGGCTATGGATTGGCACTTTAGGAACATTCACTTTGACTGGAAGCTCAGCGTTCCAATCCACTTGAATCTCTATTTCCTTGGTTGGAATATCAAATTCTTCTGGATTTTCGATGTCTTCATCAGGCTCAAAAGCATTATTCGATGAACCAGCATCACTTATAATGCCATCCTAAACAAAGAAAACACTGCCAACTCAATTACTAATGATTTGGGATGTCTTTCAACAATTAATCTAAAATGACTTAAAAGTTCTACAAACTGCTTCTTGGTAAGCAAAATATCAAGAGGATGAACTCTTAGGGAATAAGGTTTACCTCAGCCCAAATTCTGATGTTCTCTAGGAAGAAAAATGGAAGAACAGTGGAGAGAGGAAATGCTTGATTTCTGGAAGATTGTAGAACTTAGCCAAGAGATACACTGACAAGAGAGTTTGAATAAAAGGTAACTACTGTAGCTCTAAAAGTTTATGAACTTACGACTGCCTTCTGTTGTGAGTAATTTTCTGGCATTGAATTAGCACATGTTTTGTCCCTTTCAGTAAAAATAAGGTTTATTTCATGATAGAAAAAAAAAAATCTCACCCTTTGTTTCCAAGTAGCCCTGCTGATTTCATTTTATTCTCTCCCCTTCCCTCTCTCCTAAAAGAACAACTCAGCTGTTCTCCATCATACATATGTCAGCTGCTTGTACACATCTGGGTACCAAAGAGGGTATATTTAATTTTAGACAGTCTAACTGCTTTTATTTCATCTGAGAAATGAGAGAATTTCAGAGGGGAAAGAATGATGTTGCCTCACCTTTGTTGCTCTTAACTGCCCTTTTTTGATGAGTTTCTGTATTTTCCTCAGTGCTTTCAACCTCTTATTATACACTCTAATGGCATCAAATCCAACCTTTGGAAAAAAATGTCAAGTTAGTTAAAACGTCTGGTTCCTGATGCTCATTAATGGCAATTTTTATCTGGAAAGGCTATTTCTCAAGTGGTATTATTTGCTGATGTATCCTGCCAGAAAAGAAATTCTGAGGTCCGATGGAGGTCTCCACTACCAGGCCACCCTAACCCACCCACCCAGAGACTCAGGAAAGGCAGTAGCATATTGAAGACTCCAAGACAAAAAAAAAAAAAAGCAAAAAATAACCTTTTTAGCTTTAAGTCTGTGTTTTCCAAATTTGCTTGACATGACAAAGCCCTTGTTGTTGCAAAGTCTATGAACATTCCTTTGAACTTCAGGAAAACACTGATCTAGAGGCAAACTCCAACTTCGAAGCATAGCATGGAATTCAAGACCAGAATTTCCTGCTTATCTATTCCACTTATACTTTTTACCCTTTATTCCAACTGCCCCGCTCCCCCACCCCCTGCCCAATGCACATTCTCACATTTTCCTCTCAGCTCATGTAGTTCCCAAACACCTGCCATAATCTCCTTCCTTCTGCCCAACTGCCACGCAAAGCCTGATCAGTCCACCTAACTCGGATGACTCCCTTCCATGAAATCTTAACACTTACTCTCTATACTACTTACTTGGAACTTACTCAAAGTCTGCCTGGAGACATCTCTAGTGGTTTTGTCCAGCACAGTTATTGCTACCTGAATTTTAACATATATGTTATTATCGTTTGTTCCTATTCCCAAATAGATTGAAAGTTATTTGAGGGCAAGGATGTTATAAATCTTAATGCCCTGTACAAAGGGAACAGGGTACAGGACCTTATGCCCACGTTTGAGCCCCTTAAATACCTGTAGAATGAATGAAGTCTCAAAGGAAGTTAGAAACTAGATTTCTAGGGATAAAATACTTACTGTGGACTTGATACATTTTTTTAAACCATCAACATTGCCGTAAAAAATAGGACTAGAAAATCTCAGAATCTTCACTCCTTCAGGTTCTTCAATCTAGCATTAAAAAAAATTTTTTTTATGAGGTTAAATCATTTCATGCCTTAAATACTCAGTTAAGTTTTTGGCTATTCAGCTAGGAGCTGACTGACAATTGCTCAGAGAAGCTGGGCAGCAGTCCTCAACTTTCCTCTAACAGGAGTTTGTTCTTTTCCTATTTCCTTTGGGTGTTAAGTTAGATTGTTTATTTGAGATTTTTCTTGTTTCCTGTGGTAGGCCTGAATTGCTATGAACTTCCCTCTTAGAACTTCTTTTGCTGCATCCCACAGATTTTGGAATGTTGTATTTCCATTTTCACTTGTCTTAAGGTAATTTTTTATTTCCCCTTTGCTTTCTTCATTGACCCATTGTTTGTTCATAGCATGTTGTTTAATCTCTATGTATTTGTCATTTTTTTCAGTTTTCTTCTTGTAATTGATTTCTAGTTTAACATCATAGTGGTCAGAAAAGATGTTTAATATGATTTCAATGCTCTTAAACGGGTTGGACTTGTTTTGTGACCTAGCCTAACATATTATCTATCCTGGAGAATGTTTCATGTGCACATGGGAAGAATGTGTATTCTGCTGCTTTTGGATGGAATTTTTATACTTTAAGTTTAAAGAAATCCCTTTAACATTTTTGTAAAGCCGGTTTAGTGGTGATTAACTCCTTTAGCTTTTGCTTGTCTGGAAAACACTTTATCTCCTCTTCAATTCTGAATGACAACCTTGCCAGGTAGAGTTTTCTTGGTTGGAAGTTTTGTCCTTTCAGCACTCTGAATATATTATGCAACTCCCTTCTGGCCTGCAAAGTTTCTGCTAAAAAATCAGCTGATAACCTTATGGGGGTTCCTTTATACGTAACAAGTTATTTTTCTCTTGCTGTCTTTAAGATTCTGTACCTTTAACTTTTGACATTTTATTTATAATGCCCTGATATAGATCTCTTTGGGTTCATCTTATTTAGAAATCTCTGTATTTCCTGGACCTGAATGTTTCCTTCCCCAGTTTAGGGACATTTTCAGCCATTATTTCTTCAAACAGGTTCTCTGCCCCTTTCTCTCTTTTCCTCCTGGGACTCCTAAATGTGAATGTTATTCTGCTTGGTGTTGTCCCATAGGTCCCTTAAGCCATCCTCACTTTTTAAAATTCTTTTTTCTTTTTGCTGTTCTGCTTGGGTCAGTTCTAGTGTCCTGTCTTCTAGGTTGCTGATCCATTCTTCTGCTTCATCTAGTCTGCTGTTGAACCCCTCTAGTGTATTTTTCAGTTCAGTTAGTGTATTCTTCAGCTCTTGACTTCTGTTAGGTACTTTTCTTATTATATTTTCTATCTCTGTGTTGAAGTACTCACTGTGGTCATCCATTCTTCTCCAGAATTCATTGAACACCTTTATAACCATTACTTTGGACACTTTATCAGGTACATTACTTATCTGTTTCATTAAAGTCTCTTTCTGAAATTTTGTCTTGTACTTTCGTTTGGAACATATTCCTCTGTTTCTTCCTCATTTTGCTTGATTCTCTGTGTTTGTTTCTATGTGTTAGGCAAAATGGCTACCTATTCTAGTCTTCTGGTCTTGAGGGAGTGGCATATGTAGGAGATGAACCTTATTGTTCAGCCTTGCCCTAGCTCTTCGGTGTCTCTCAAACCTTTGTGCTTGTCTAATTAGCCTGGTTTATTTTTTTTTCTTTTTTAAAAATATTTATTTATTTATTTATTTACTCTTTGGCTGCATTGGGTCTTTGTTGCTGCACGCGGGCTTTTTCTAGTTGCAGCAATTGGGGGCTATCTTCATTGTGGTGCACGGGCTTCTCATTGCAGTGGCTTCTCTTGTTGCAAAGCACAGGCTCTAGGTGCATGGGCTTCAGTAGTTGTGGCATGTGGGCTCAGTAGTTGTGGCTTGCGGGCTCAGTAGTTGTGGCTCATGGGCTTTAAAGCGCAGGCTCAGTAGTTGTGGCGCACAGGCTTAGTTGCTCCGCAGCATCTGGGATCTTCCCAGACCGGGGCTGGAACCCGTGTCCCCTGCATTGGCAAGTGCATTCTTAACCACTGTGCCACCAGGGAAGTCCCTAGCCTGGTTTAGTTTTGATAGGCCCCAGTTGTTGAGGGTGTGCCAAGACCTGTCACTGTTCCAAGGGGAGGGATCTCATTCAGCATCTAGTTTCAGGCTGATTGGAAGCTAGATCCTCAGAGAGCAGCTTTTAAAGTATGCAAATATATACAGTCTTGTGGAACCACAATTACTGACCTCAGGAGACTTGGAGGTGTCTCCTGGGTGATGGGTGCAAAAATTGGAGCTTCAGATGAACTCCTTTCTGGGAGGTACCACAAGATGTGGCGAGGCCAAGGGAGGGTATGAGAATGATGTCTCCCTGCCTACACTGCCTGAGAGCATTTCTGTAGCCTCTATACGTGTGGCAAACCTGAAGCCTGTCACTCAGGTTAAAGCTCTAGGGTAAATAATGGGCCTTTTTCACAGGTGGACTGGAGTATGTTTTGTCTGCTATCTCTGTAGTACCCTGGGTGTGGTAGCCTGCCCAGAACTATCTTTCCAACTGTTACGGTCCTGTGGGGCCCAGGCATGCAAGGCCCTCGGGCTGCCAGGGCCAGGCAACCAAGGGGTGTTCCTTTTGCGGACTGTGCTCACCTACCAGCTTTAGCATGGCTGCAGGAGAGTGCTGAGGGTGGGGCATGCTGCAGCTTTAGTGACGCAAGAGAAGAATGCTGGGAGCGGAGCAGACCTGTGGCTTTATTGAGGTTGTGCCTGGGTGCACCTGCCTACACTAGCAAGGTACGGGGAGAGCGCAAAAATGACACTTGCCAGTGCCTCCATCCCTGAAGCATGTCCCAAGTGGTCCTTGCCCCTCTGGCAGATGCTTTAAGATTAGCAAATGAATCTCCTTCACATATAGTCCAGGGACTTTCAAACTGCTGCCTTCGTGCCGGGTCCCAGGATGAGTGAGCCCACATGTGAGCCCCTCCAAAGGAGTATCTCACATTCCCACAGTCCCCTCGGGGCCCCTGAAAGTAAGCCCTATTGTTTTCCAAAACCAGACATTTTGGGGGCCTCGACGCTTTGGTGCAGGTCCCAAGGGATGCAGAGTACAAACCCCTTGCTCCTCAGGGAGTAGTTCCAAACTTAGGACATTCCTCCCTCTTGTGGGACACGGAGCCAGGGGTGGGTTTTGGCGAGACTGCATCCCTGCCTCTCCTACTTGTTTCGATGTGGCCCTTTTATCCCTTGTTGTGGAGCAGCTGTTCAGCTAGTTATCAGTTCTTTTTCAGAGAGAATGATTCCATATGTAGCTGTAGCTTTGGTGTGTCCATAGGAGGAGGTGAGTTCAGAATCTTCCTGTTCCAGAATCCATCTTGGACCGCCCCCTTGAATTTTCCTTCTTTCTCTGCTTTTTCATGTTTGTTCCTTCTGGTGGTCACTAAGCACTCTTATTTGCAGGGAACATAAGCCCATCAGTGGAATGTTTATTTTCTTCGTTTTTTATGTTCTGTATTATATATTATTTCTTCCAATTCCAAGGATAGAGAAAAACGGCAAATAAGGTTCTTTGTGACAGAGAACATGAACGTCTCTCCTTAGAATTGAATGAAGAAAATCTTACAGGGATTTCAGGCAGTGTCATAGAGGATAAGGATAACATAGCAGAGAAAGAGAAATTTTTTTCCTCTTGCTGCTTGAAAAATTGCTGTTAACATCTTGGCTTTCAGCAGTGTTACTGTAGTGTTTCTAGGTGTGGATTTTTGTGTGTACATTAATTGGGTTCAGTGGGCACTTTGGATTTGTACATTGTGGTTTTCCTCAAATTCGGGAAAGTTTGGATACTTATTCAATATTTTGTCTGTTTTTTTTTTTTTTTCTCTTCTTCTCTTTTGGGAATGTTGTTACAGCATATGTTTTATTTTGTCCTAGAGGTCTCTGAGGCGCTGTCATTATTTTTTTCTTTTTTAGTTATAATTGACATATTAGTTTCAGGTGTACAACCTGATATTTGTATTCATTGCAAAATGATCACTACAATAAGTCTAGTTAACATCTGTCACCATACATAGTTACAGAATTTTTTGTGTGATGAGAACTTTTAAGATCTACTCTCTTAGGAACTTTCAAATATGCAATACAGTATTATTAACTATGGTCTTCACATGTACATTGCATTCCCATGATTTATTTATTTATAACTGGAAGTTTGTGTCTTTTGACACCCTTCACTCAGAGGAATAAATTTTGGTTCAACTTCTGGAAATAATTGAATTGCCTATTTTTTTTTTACAAATTCCCTGTACAACGGTTTGACATTAAAATGACATTTTAACTAGCATGGACAAAATTCACATAAGCCTAGGATATCAGAGGGCACATTGGATCGAAAGTTTTCCTGACACCCCCCAGTGGACTTCTGGACTTTCCCAACAGAAGTAGCCTCCCTTTTTGGCTACCTTATCCCTAACATACTGAAAGAGAAATATGCAACCCCTGAAAATCCAGCTTAGCAAACCCAAGTCCAGCCAATGTCTCACAAAGGCACTTACGTTTTTGTAATTCTTGGTGCTTTTGTAGATGTCTGTGCTAGGGATGCTTCCAAGGCTGTTCCATGAGGGACTGAAAGAAGAAAAATCAAGGTCAGGGTTTTTTGGAAAAGGCATATTTTGGAATAAAAAGTGAGAAGAAATTACAGATACTGAAGAGCCCATAATCTGGGTGTTTTTGGACTCTGTCTTTATCGCAGATGACATTTTCCGGTAGCTAACTCTGAAGTGAACAGCCGGTGCTTGTGTAGGATTCGGGGAGAAGAAAGAAGTGTGCCTCATTTCTGATGCCTGCACGAAGTAATGAGCATCATACTTTCATATGTGTATGACTTTATAGGATAAGCAAAGAGCTTTCACACATGTTAAATCTTATTTGAGCCCTACCGTAACCCTGAAAGATCAGCAGTATTATCCTCATTTTTACTGGCGAGTAAACTGTTTAGAGAAGTTCAAAAAGGCCCTGGAGGGAAGAGGAGCAGAGCCTCTACCTTTAACCCATGGGTCTTCGTTGCCTGGCATGGTGCCTAGAACTTACTTGTGAGTTATAGCAACTTTCTGATGAAGTATGGAGAGCCTGCACTGATCAAATTAGTCTCATTTCATAGAAATAGGAGCCTGGGAGGACCAGACATAAGTCCTTCCCATCCACCAGACTGTTGATTTCCTGTTTCTGATGCAATCCCATAAATTCCATGATTCTTCAAGTGTGACTAGGGACATATGCTAAATACAATTCCTGAAGAAAGAGTGGCTCTCAGCAATGTGCTCTCTGGATCAGCCTTATAATTACTGGAAATTGAGTGTCTCTCAGCAATGTGCTCTCTGGATCAGCCTTATAATTACTGGAAATTAAATACTGTGGAGGATACTGCTTTTTGTTGGCTCAAAGCCTCGTTACCAAATCTGCAGCTAAACGGTGCCACCGATTTTCCTCAGCTTGCTGTGCAGTGCTGATTTTTAACTTAAAGCTTAGAAACTGTATAGTCTTTCTCTACAAAACCCTTCTCCCCCAGTCACACTCACACAAGTAAAAGTAAACACGGAGGCATCCAGGGCACAAAACTCTCTTCCAAGGAGAGTTTCTGAGGTGTTTCCCAGTGGCACACTGGGTACTTTGGATGCTTGTGAAGTCTTTCGGGCCCTTGGGCAACCATTTAAGGGTGCTGAGGCAGTAAACACAAGCCTTTGGGCAGGCTCTAACATGCCAGGGGAGGGAAGGAGGGAGGGAAGGAGAATTGGTTGGTGGAACGGGAAAGGTGGACTTATGCTAAGCTAAAGGTGTTGAGGTTTCCCCAGGTTTTATATTCCTTCATGGCCCAAGTGCAGGCAAAGAAGGGACCAGAGGTCTGGGAAGATAACAGAAGTTTTGAGGAAGGAGAGAAGCACGCTTCTGCTCTCTGTTCAGACAATTCCATAGACCCAGTAGGGCATCTACCAAAAACCTCTCAAGGGTCAAAACAAGGGAATTCCCTGGCGGTCCAGTGGTTAGGACTCCGCACTCTCACTGCCGAGGGCCTGTGTATCCCCGGTTGGGGAACTGAGATCCCGCCAACCTCGCGGCCAAAAAAAAGATTTTTTTTTAATAAAAAAATTTTTTTAAAGTCAAAACAAAACAAATGAAAAAACATACACCTTTCGCCTGCCTCACAGATTGTTTTCCATTACTTTGAACTGTGTCTTTGCTGCTTTCACTCTGGAGATGACCTAATTATGTCTATTTCACATAATTGGTATGGCTTATTGTGTACATACCTTATTTGGCAGATTTGAATGCATTTTGGCTACAGGCAACTGTTTTAAAGTCTCCTGTTCTGGGTTGTTACATAATTTCTGGGTTACTAGCTTCAAAAGAAAATGAGCTACCATATATTTAGCAGCTGTCTGGGCCCAAGGCTTGGGCCCAGTGCCTCTCAGACATCATCTCATTTTAAAAAGAAACTACACGGCAACTTCAGTCTTTTGCTGAATCATGTGTCTTTTAGTCTTACCATGACTTGGAGGAGAGCATAGCAGTAGAGCATGTGAATAAGTGAGTAGATTTTGGGGTGAGATCTGGGTTCAAATCCTGTCTCTGCCACTGACTAGCTGATCTTGGGGAAGGTTCTTAACCTTTCTGAGCTTCAGTTATCTTACTAGAATGAGGAGAGTAAAACCTATTCACAGGGTTTTTTTGAAGACGAAATATGATAATGTGTGTAAAGCACCATACACTTAATTTGTAGAAGCGCTCAATATATAGTAACTATTATGAAAGGGAGTGCTTTTATTGTATTTATCACAATAAAGAAATATAAGAAATCTCAGGGTGTGTTGTCCTGTTTATCGATAACCTGGATCTTATATTACTCACAATTGAACTCTCAGGACCACAGTCAGAAATCCAAATATAAGGCCAGCTAGTAAACCGAGGTCCAGCCCCAGAATGATGGATGCTACACACGTAAACACCCAGATAACCTAGGAAAACATGGAAATGAAAGGAATTATGTTAATTCATCAGGTACCATCAGGTGAGCAATTACCTGTAAAAATAAGATCAATTGTCCACAAACAAATTACAGCGTTGTAAAATATTGACTTCATTGCATACTTTAAGTGCAAGTGGAAATTGCCCTTTCCAGTAAAGGCCAGCTGTTCCATTTAAATATTCTTAAATTTAATTTTTGCATATTGACATGGTTCAAAATAAAATTAGTATTAAAAAGGTGTGCAGTGGGACTTCTCTGGCAGTCCAGTGGTTAAGACTCTGCACTTCACTGCAGGGGCCACGGGTTTGATCACTGGTCGGGGAACTAAGATCTGGCATGCTACGTGGCACAGCGGAAAAAAAAAAAGTGTGCAGTGAAAAATCTTGCTTGTAACTCTCTCCTTTCTCCATCCATTCCCAACGACGCTCCTTTCTTGTGTCCTTGTTTATGTCTGTGTGTGTACACACATGTGCACACTTTTCTCCAGCATTTCTTTTGGCAAATACAAGCAAATATGACTACAAAGCATATTTTTCCCTTCTTTTGGTGTGTTATACACACTCTTCCATTTTGCACTGGTCTCTTTTTTACTTCACAATTTGTCTTGGAGATCTTTCCATATAGATATATAGGGAGTTTTCCCATTCCTTTAATCTGTTCTGGTTTAAATTAGGGCAGAACTCTGAAGTGTTTAGCTTCTTTTTTTTTTTTTTTTTTTTTTTTTTTTTTTTTTTCTAACAATCCCTCAGAAGACTTGTAAAGGTTACTTTAATCAAAATTATAATCAACGTGGGGTTTCGTATTTTGTTTTTGCTTTGTTTTTGTTTTGTTTGTCTTTCTAAATTAGAGGTTTTTAAAAAAAATTTGTTTGCTTTTTGGCTTTAGAAGGCCAAGGGTATACGAAGGAGCTCATATGGGATTCTTGCTGGAAATGAATCTTCCCAGAGATACAGGACCTTCACAAATCACAGCTCACGTGGAAGACTTCCCAACTTTGGCTTATCCCCAAAATTCTAATTTCTGCTCTGGTTCCCAAAATGCAAGTAAGACTTAGGAGATAAGGGGATGTAATAATATGGCAAGAAGCATATAAGAAGCAATTCTTATTTCAGAGAAAAATGGATGGTAAGTGACTTACAGCATCAGTCTTATTCTGCCTCCACAGACGAGGAATGTCACACACCTGCATAAACATCCCCTTCAGGTTGGCGATTACAACAGCTGCCAAGACTGACTGCCAAGAGAGACAGGGAAGGCTGAGTTATTCAGGGGAATGGTTTTCCATGTGATGACTTCTAAATCCCCTGTTATTTCTCAGGTGGCAGAGCAGTGAAGGGGAAGTATGTAATCAGTGTGGCGAGAAGCAGCGCTATACCTTTTGCAAGGGTTCCAACAACTTCCCCAGGGCAACAATGGCGATCATCACAATCCCAGCCGAGATCATGCCGGCAACCTGAAAGACATACGTGTCCCATAACCAGGGTCCGTCCTGCCCCCTCTGGACGTGTGCTTGCTGGACACATGCGTGCAAGAGCCTGTTCATGGGCACACGTGACACTTCCCAACTTTCCCCCTTCTGCTCAATACTGTTGAGACAAGTGAGAATTATTTGCGAAAACCATACATTTAGTAGCTATGGCAGAGAAATTAAAGAAAATGTGGACCCTGAATCTGCTAGAGTAAAGCCTGGATTGCACTTGGATACACGGCAGACATATACTTTTGGTGTCAATTCAAGAGGCCAAACTTCTAGTCGTTTGCCATTTGAGGAAACAGGGCCCATCCCCCTTCCCAGACAACAGATCCTTGTAATGTTCTTGGGAAATAAATTCTCATAGCACATAACTGATTCTGCTGCACTATTGAGTCAGCAACCTGATAACAATTCAGATAACACTTTGTATACATGGCTGCCATGATAATCTCAGAGAAAATAAATTTACCAGTCTTTCTGCAGATTCAGAATGCCACACGAGCCTGCTGAGTGGTGGGACCATGTCTCCCGCATCCTCCCACAGCTGCACGGATGCAGGCTCAGAGCTTTGCCCCACAAGCAGCCTGAGTGAGGGTGGGCAGTAGCAGAAGTCAAGGAAGCTTCAGAAACTTTACCTTCGCTGGCAAAAAAGCTCTCCTAAGATCCGTAATTAGTTAGGAGAGAGGCTGAGGGGGTGGGGACTACTCTCTGTTGTGATTAGATGACCAATGGGTTCTCTGCTGAGACAGCTGGGGCCTGGCCAAGGTGAAGCCTAGTAGCTCTGAAACAAAGGAGAGAAGGAGACAGGGAGCCAGAAGCAAAGCGACCAGAGAGGAGGCAGCAGAGAAGGTTGCCCTGGGCCCAAGTACTGCCTAGTGCAAGATGTTTGTCTTCAAGGAGACACATAAAGCCAACAGAAATTAAAAGTCCGAAAACTTAAGGAAATTTCGTATCCATGATCATTCACTCCAGCTGGCAAATTGCTCAGTCATGTTCAGAGGATACTTAGGCCAGACTGAGGCGATATTATGTATATGACGTACAGAAAAGTCTGCTCTGTCCAGCCAGATCCCCTTTCTAGGCAATTTGTTATCTCCCAGCACCACACCTCCGGGTTCCCAGTGCCTTGGTGAGCTTTCCCCTCTCCTATCTAAGCAGAGAAGCTGGTATCCTTCCTCCCTCCTTCCCTCCTTTCCTTCCTTCCTTTCTTCTATGCAATTACTTAACCAACATTCATTGTCTATCATGAGCCACATGCATCTCACTGTGGATGTAGGGCTCTGTGAACTGGTGAGAGGGATGGAGATTTGGGGACAGGGACCACAGCCAGCTGCCCAACTCATGCCAGGAGGGTGGCCACCTACTCACTGAGGATAGGAAATAATTAGCCTCCGATTATGGAGACCAAGACTAATTTTGGTTACTATTTTAAAATCTGTGAGGGAACCCATTGCTTGTACTTAATTTATAAAGGAAAATTACTTATTTTGCAGGAAACGCTGTAGATTTCATATCTATGAGCAGATTCAGTTACTAGAGAATTAATTCTTCTCTTAAGTGAGAGGGTAACCAGAGCCAGGGAATAGTTTGTCATCAGAATTACTTTTTCATGAATCAGTAGGAGTCAGATGGGGGTGAGGGAAAGAACAGGTTGCAATGCTGAGCTCTTCTACAATCTGTAGATGTGTTGCAAACAGTTGATGTCCACTAATACTTATGATTCTCTTCATTCATTCCGCAAATACATGCCGGGTGCTTCTTATGTGTCAGGTACGACATATGTATCATAGGTACTAAGGCACTATTCTTACCTTGAGAAGTTAATGACCGGAACCATCAACATTTACAAGTGAGTGCCAGGATTTTACAAACATTTTCTTATTTAATCCTCACAACATCCCTATGAGGCAGATACAATTATTATCCCCATTGCACAGATGCGGAAACTGAGGCTCCAACATGAAAAAAAACATGAGAAGCCACACAACAGGAGAAGACTTGCCAGTTTAGTTGGTCACAAGTCCCTGGATTTCAGTCCAGACACTTAGACTTTTAATCCCAGAACTTAGTGTACATTTCAGTAATTAAATATCAAACTATTTCTCTGCTTGTTTCATTCTTCAGTACTGAAATCCTGGCATCCTTCATTCCTAAATATAATACACGCCAGTGTGTGGCAGGGGGTATTAGCTTACCAGAACACCATTATCCCCAAAGCCTCTGCCAAGGAATCACTTTACATGGGCATTCTTAGGAGGGGAGGGGAGGATGGACGGGACTGTGCCCATTTCAGTCTGGAAGTAACAGCAGAGAATGGACATCAGCACTTGGGGATATGCCTGTACCCACTTACAGCCAGGTGCCCTGGAGAGCTTGTCAGGGCCCCATCTCCAGTGGAAGCAGCAGAAAATTTCACTGCTGACAGCTACCCCCTGAACCACAGGTACAGCTCTGGCAATCACCTCCAACCTCTTCCCCTTGACCACAGATCTCTGGTTATGCTTCCTGTTTGAGGCTGTATTGTTTTATTTGCTCTCACAAAGCTGGAAATGTTTGCAGAAAAAAGCAAAGAAAACTCAATTTTAAACAGAAAAATTCTGAAAATTTAGACTAAATTTTTGTTGAACAGGAGCCAACAAATTGGAAGAGGCCAGTTCTTCTGACCCTGTCACCAAGATCCTTTATAAATGGTAAAGGAGCATCATGGGCACCTTGGGGACAGTTCAGTCTCCCCCTGGGCAACTTCCTTGTTGGAGTCATTCATTTTCTGAGTTTCTCTCTTTTGTACTTATTTGTAAGTGTCTCTACCTTAAAAAACCCTATTTGAAGACTCCGTGTGTGTGTGTATGTATGTATGTATGTGTGTGTGTGTGTGTGTGTGTGTGTGTGTGTGTGTGTGTGTGTGTGTGTGTGTGTGTGTGTGTGTTACCCTATTCACTTTGGATTTGTTGTTCTCCTTTACAGTCTCAATGTACTTTTTACTCTTAAATAATAGTTCTTTCTGTGTTGGGATGAGAAAACTCTTCAGGCATAACAGAAACACAATTCCTGAGCTGCCCCTCACCCCCATCTACTTGGTTTGGCTTAGCTGACTCATGTCCTGCTGGAAAGAATGGTCTGAGAACAGCTCCTGAGCTTTCTAGCCCATTGAAGGAGGAGCTTTCCAGAGATTAACTTGGATGCTGGTTTGGGGGAAGGCAACAACTTAAAAAACACATTTAAAAGGCAAGATGAAACCCACATTCAGAATTTTAGGAACAAAAGTCTTGCTCAGGAAGAAATGCCCAAATGTTACAACAAAAATATCCTTGGCTAGCAAACTTGTTCTGTGGGACCCAACGCCTCTGGACGAAGCTCCTGATCCTTGTAAAGGAAATGTAAATAGACAGCTTCTCATTTTCCTGAAAATAGAATAACTCACTAAGCCACAAAGTGCTCTTACTAGGCCTTCTCTATCCCCAGATAACAAATTGGTAAAAATCAGCATTCTTCATGACTGATTCCTTGTCAACTGTTATCATCCCTGGAAAAGCAAGTAAGTGGAGCTATCTGCCAGCTGAGCACTGACACAAAATGGTTTGAGACTTGCTGCATCAGAAAACCATAAATGTTGCTGTGGAAGAGTTTTTCGGGGAGGGGATGGATCACCGTCAAGGAGATGGAGAGACCCCGGGTGCAATCAGACCAGGAAGTACAAGTTTCTCTTTTCTCAAAGGCTAATCCACCTGCTGAGTTCTTGTGCAAGCCTTTCTGAGCCACCATTCCCCTGACTCATTCTTTCCATCATTCTAGATGGATATTACAACACCGCTGTTACATACCTGTGTCTTTCCCCCAGTGCTCTCCTGGACGGCGGTGCGGGACAGGGCAGTGGTGGCCACAAAACAAGAGAAGAATCCAGAGAAGATGTTGCTGATCCCAAAGGCAATGAATTCCTAAGAGAGAGACTGGATGGCAGTGATGCTACATATCAAATCTTTGCAAGACCCTTGCCAAGTGTTTAAGGAAGAGCATTAAGAAAGCAAACTCTCAAGCCCACCCTGCCTGGGAGTCCCAGTTTAATTCTTACCATTAAAGGTGCTTGGGGCCCTTGGAAGACATGGGAACTTCTGGCTCCGTAGAGCCTAAGAGAGGCTTCACTGCTTTCAGTTGTTTTTAAGATTGACTGATCTTTTGCTCAAATGCTTATTTCACTTCCTGGTGAGTGGCACATCTGTAACTCTCACATGAAATATTTTCTCTGTGGTTGGATATTTGCTATGAAGTGTATTATGATTAGGAGGGCTATTATTCTTATTGAGTACTAATCATTTAACTGCTGTAATTGCTATGCTATGTTTTCAGAAACCAACCATACTTGCAGATTTGCAAGCAGTGGAAAATCAGCTCACCTGGTAAATGTATCAGGTGCTACAAAAAATGTCCTGTATCTATTACAGGTATCCCCTGCTTTTCAAAAGTTCACTTTATGCCACTTGGCTTTTACGAAAGACCTATGTTAGTACCTGTTTTTGCTAACTGAAAGAAATCCCAAGGGGCTTTTTGCTTTTATAAAAAAGGATGAAAAGCATCTGTTTTGTACCTAGCCCTTATAGAGGCAGCATGCCCCCCAAGTAGGGAGAGTGGCACCACCAAGCTCCTCCCCCGGAAACTACACTCAGCATCTCAGCATCGAGCCGCCATCGCTTTGAACTGTGGTGGTGAGCACCTGTGCTTCATCTAAAGTGGATTTTGTGCATCTGTTTGCAAGATGTGTCCTAAGGTAACTGCTTCTTCACTTTACTGCCATTTCTGCTTAAGAAAGTTTTCATAGGAATGCTCTACGTTAGGGTAGCAGGGGAAACCTGTAATTGCACAATAAACCACCTCAATTTAAAGTGGTCACAACTATTATCATTGGTGTTTGTTGCTCTGTTTTGCCGTATTATAGCTGTCATTAAAAAAACAATTACCAGGCGATACTAGATTACATGAAGAATTCTTATTACAATCTGTTAAGCTTAAATGTTATTTATGACCTAACTGAATTAACTTTTTAAAAATTAGGATTACTTCAACTTATTTCTTAAAAAGTAAAGTGATGCATATACACTATTAATACTATGTGTAAAATAGACAACTAACGAGAACATACAGTATAGCACAGGGAACTCTACTCAGTGCTCTGTGGTGACCTAAATGGCAAGGAAATCCAAAAAAGAGGGGATATATGTATTCGTATAGCCGACTCACTTTGCTGTACAGTAGAAACTAACACAACATTGTAAAGCAACTATACTCCAAAAAAATTATTTTAAAAAAAAGTACAGTGATGCATACAGTGCAGGGAATATAGCCAATATTTTCTAAGAACTATAAATGGAGTATAACCTCTAAAGCTTGTGAATCACTATGTTGTACACCTGAAACATATAATATAGTATATCAACTATACCCCAATTAAAAGATAATTTGTTAAAAAATGTAAAGCAAAAAAGAGATGTTATCAAGCTAATACTACACATGGAGCTTGTTTGGATACTTAACCAGACAAATCAACTGTTTAAAACAACTTTTTAAGATAATCTGAAAACTAACTAGATAGTTGATATTATCAAGGAATTATTGTTAATTTTTTTAGTTGTGATAATGATCTTGTGGTTATACCTGAAAACTGACTGGATATTAGATGGTATTAGGGAATTACAGCTAGTTTCTTAGATATGATGATGTATCACGATTGCTTTTTACATGCTTATCTTTCAGAGACATATAATAAAATATGGATAAAGAAACAGTAAAATATATTTTAAAAATTGTGATACAACATGTTTATTTCAAAATAATTTCAAATTAGCACACACAGGAGAGAAACCAACTCAATAAAGATGGGTGGAAGAAACCAATCCCTTCTTTAGCAGACAACAAAAATCTTTCCCATTTATGTTTTCTTCTTATTTCCAGCTCTACAAAACCATTTCAGCAAAAGAGTGACCATACCTGGTTCCCATCGATGGTGTAATCATACTTGATGGCGTATACTTTTCCTACAGACACTGCAATGGCATAAGCGACCACAGCAATGGAAAATGATGCAGTCAGCATCTCAGAAAACAAACTCACAGATGGAATCGCCGGAGGCAAAAACCTGGTGAGTTTTTAAATGAAAAATGCTGTGAAAATTCGACCATAATGCTCTTCCCCCACCTCGCCAAATGCTCTGTCAACCCAGCCACAAGTCAGAAATGAAAGGACTTGATCCAAGAGGGCAAGAGGTACGGGAGATGCATAAGTGGTAGTATCTGCTTTCACAGGTTTCAGTCAGAAGTTGGTGCTATCTCACTGGCTGATTCCTTTGTTCCCTATTTGAGAACCTATAGATGCTGCCTTATCTACGCTCTGACAAGAATACGCCAGTCATTACTGATTTTTTAATACCATACAATCCCATGCTGTGCCATTTCACACATTAGTGTTTCTCCTTACACAATTTCATCTTAAAGGTCTTTGAATTTAAAAGATACCCTAGCCATAAAATGAGATTTACCCTGTACAAGGTGAGGTGTGTTAAAGAGACTAAGAATGTAAGATGCTAAAAGAGCTGAGTGGAAAATCCATTCTAAGAGCCATGATATTTAAAATCTTCTTGAGTCCAAAAAAGATTAAATGTATGTAATTATCATAATGCTCCATAGTCACAATGATCAAGACATCCCAACAGCTGCGGGATCAAACAGTTACTGTTTGACAAAACCAGAGCTACTCTACCAACTGTATAAAGAAATAAATCTACAAGTTTATAAGCCTGCAATTGTCCCCAAATATGAAAATCGGCGGGGTGGGGGGGGCGTGATTCCTTTCTTGTGCCTATATCTTTTTTTTTTTCTTTTTCTTTTCGGTGTGCGGGCCTCTCACTGTTGTGGCCTCTCCCGTTGCGGAGCACAGGCTCCGGATGCGCAGGCTCAGCGGCCATGGCTCACGGGCCCAGCCGCTCCGCGGCATGTGGGATCTTCCCGGACCGGGGAACGAACCCGTGTCCCCTGCATCGGCAGGTGGACTCTCAACCACTGCGCCACCAGGGAAGCCCACTTGTACTTATATCTTGATTACTATCTGTAGGGTGTAATTCCAGAGGTCCCTGGCCAAAAAACAAAAACAAAAGGCAATCTCCCTGACCTACCTCACACCTGAAGTTCCTTTAATAGGAAACTATATTTTTTTCCGCCTATAATTAGAGGGAAGTAGTAAAGTAGAAATAAGATTCTTATAGAAAACAATAGAAATCTAGAGCCAGCTAATATCCTAATATGATCCAAATTAATATCCTAATCTAATATCCTAGAAATTGTTGAATCTACCTCTCTTTTTGTTGATACTGAACTGAGGCCCAGAAAAGTGAAATGATCTGCTCAAGGTCATTTAGTAGGTCCAGGTATGAATGTTAGGTATTAGATGATTTCCTGGGTCACAAGATCTGACTGACCCTCTTAGAGCCTGCTGGTTAAGGAAAAGGTTAGCGATGGGACTTCCCTGGCAGTCCAGTTGTTAGGACTCTGGGCTTCCCATGCAGGGGGCACGGGTTCGATCCCTGGTCTGGGAACTAAGATCCCACATACCGTGCGGTGCGGCCAAAAAGTAAAAATTAAAAAACAAAAGACAACAACAAAAAAGAAAAAGGGTCAGTGAGAGAATGAGGGCTCCTCGTTTAGGTGAATCCTAGTGGGACACTCAGAAGCTGACCAGACTTGCAGAAATTGTATACTTGGCCAAGCAAGGGAGTAGGGAAATAAGGCAAATGGTCACAGTTTTGGGGACAGTGTTATTGGGCACTGAGCGATACTGACATATGGCATTGGCCCTCAATGGGACAAAAGGAAGCTGCCGGCGGCGGCCATGCTTTTACTCCCTTATTGGGGGATTGACGTGGGGAGGGGATGAAGAGGTGGGTAGCACAGTGTTTCTCTTTGTTCCTCTTCCTTTCGTCCTACTCACCTTTCTCTCCTTTCCTTGCCCTTTTCCAATCTCTCCACAGCACCCTTTCTTTTTCAGGTTTGTTAACGTTATTAGACTTGTTTCACTGCTACCAAAAAGTTGCACAAGACAAATGGGATCACTGCCCTTGGGGAGGAGCTTTGAGTCCTGGGGGCCAGGCAGGTTAGGTCAGCTGACCAATCACACCAGGCGGTCTGTCAGAGGATGCAACTTGACTAACCCAAGAGCAAGAGGCTAGAGATCCATTCTCAGCAGGAGAGCAGCCAGGAAAGCTCTGGATAGGGTCAGAAAGGATCACTGAGGGCGGGCGTCCCCAACCCCGGGGCCACGGACCGGTACCTGTGCAAGGAGATGAGCGGCGGGCGAGAGAGCAAAGCTTCATCCGCTGCTCCCTGTCGCTTGTATTACCGCCTGAACCATCCTCCGCCCCACCCGACCCCCACCCCCGTCCGTGCAAAAATTGCCTTTCATGACACCGGTCCCTGGTGCCAAAAAGGCTGGGGACTGCTGACTTAGGGCAGCAAAAATGACTTCCCTAAATCTATTAATGGAACATGGACTTATGGGACAGGGCATTTGCTATGGACCTCCTCTAAGAGTTACACCCATATTTTTAATGTAGCTGTTTATAACTACTCAAATAATCTGTTAGGGTGAAAACACGATAACTCAAATAGCCAACACTTCAACTTTTTATGACTAAGTTTATACCAGCATTAGGATTTACTATCAAAATGTTGATCCTCTAATGTAAAGTTTCCCAAACTTACCTGAGCATTAGAATCACCTGAAGCCCATTTAAAAAATATTAATTCCCAGGCCCCTCCTCTGGAAAGCCTAATTCCATAGGTTCAGGGCTGGAACTAGGAATCTGTGTTAACAAGGGCCTCATGTGATTCTTAAAAATAAGTGAGTTTGAGAAACACCAGAAAGAATAATATGTAAGTTAAGCCCCATGTAGCCAGCTGTAATTTTTCTTTTTCTTTTTTTTTTTTTTTGAACAGATTACAAGAAATCATAAGATTAACCCAATGGCAAGGCAGCAGTTCCCTGTGGAATAAGCCCCGGGACTGAGCTGGCCTGAGGAGTTTCTATTAAGAGCATGAGAAACAGACTGTTACATGTCCCTCAGCTATTATTAAGGGAGGGGAAACCAGTACTTACTAGTTATCTAACAGCAAGTCTAGTCATAGATGCTATAAGTTTATGTTACAAATGTAATAAACATCTGGGTTTCTTTTTCAATGTCATATGATCGAATTACACTGTAGGGCCCTTGGTCCACTTTGCACTTTATGAGCGAGATCTCATTGGTGCTTTACAGCAAGTTCAAGTTGAGATTTCTGTGGTTTGTCATTCTCTTTGTGTCATAGGAGAACCTGCCAGGGCCACAGGACTAGATGGTGACAGAAGTAGACAAAGAACCTTAGTTCTTTACTCTTTGAATTCATCAAACTATCAAGTATATCAAACCTCCCTTAGAGATAACACATTTTATTTATAGGCACAAATGATATAATTATTATCTAAGATGGATTAAACTAAATGGAGGAGAATTTAGGCCAGATGTCCCTTTTTCCTTAAGCAGATTGTTCTCAGTACAATAAATGTTACTAACCATGATTCTACAGTATGTATAGTATACTGTAATTGTATATGTGAGTTTAAATCAGGAATCTGGCGTTAAAAGTGCATGTCCTGCCACATTTTAAGAACATAAAGAAAAAGAGAGGGCTTCCCTGGTGGCGCAGTGGTTGAGAGTCCGCCTGCCGATGCAGGGGACACGGGTTCGTGCCCCGGTCCGGGAAGGTCCCACATGCTGCGGAGCGGCTGGGCCCGTGAGCCATGGCCGCTGAGCCTGTGCGTCCAGAGCCTGTGCTCCACAACGGAAGAGGCCACAACAGTGAGAGGCCCGCGTACCGCAAAAGAAAAAAAAGAAAAAGAAAAAGAGAGAGCATATGCGGGTCTCTTTTAAACAAATGGCTTGATCTTCATCTACACACATACTGTTTATCTGATAGTTTGCACAAATGGATATTTCTTTAATATCACACACAAATAAGACCAATGAAACGAAGCTTAAGTTTCATTTAAACAGAAAGTACTGACAATATATTAGTATTGCCTAAGAGGAACGCCATACTCACCCACTTGGGATGGATTTAACAATGCCAGCGTTATAGTTCTTTTCCAGGTCAACTCCATATGAAATGGCAGTAGCTATTATTGTCTGAAATAAAACAAAAGAGGTTTAAAAAAAAAGTCCATTTGTTTTAACAATTCCTTTCTTATCAAACTAATTAATGCTGAATTTTCTAATTACACATTCTACTTACCACAATCACTTCTATAGGAATAGGGACTGGGATTTTGTGTTTAAATCGATCATTTAATTCCTTAACTGCCATACAGATGATAATGGTGAGTAATCCAGCAATGAAATCAGCAAGATTAGTGTTACCAATATTTTGAAAAATCTCAATTAGAGTCTGTAAAAAAAAATTTTTTAATATACTTCCCATATGAAAAATCATATCATCATCAAAGAGCACTTAAGAATTTCATGTAAAATTATAAAAATGTGTTGGTTAATATATAGACTACTGACATCCAATCTCTGCAATATATATACCAAGTTATTAATGATGGTTAACTTGAAGTGGTAAAAGTATGGGTGATTTCTGCTTTCTTATTTTTGCTTATCTGTATTTTTTACAATAAGAATGAGATCTTTTAAAAGAAAATATATCATTATATACTGTCTTTTGCTTGCAGAAAAGCTTTAAAAGTTTATACCTTAAGTGGTTTTACAGGTGCTATTAAGTGACCTAATTTTCACCATGTTGATATGTATTATTGAGATTAAAAACTGATAAACCAAAAGTCCCAGTTAACCAATATTTTAGGTAAAGCTCTTCACTAAACCTGAATGATACAGGTGAGAATAAAAATCCCTAAAATTCTTCATATGTAGATACATACGGACTGATCCATTCTTTATGGCAAAGAAAAGCTATTGAATTGATATATAGGTCAAGTATAAATTTTTGGAAATTAATTTGGTACTTAGTTCAAACTTGAACTAAGGTGACTTAAATAAAACTCTTTCCAAGTGGACAGACAAGACAGCTCAAGAAAAACTAGTTTTGTTTTGTAAATAGGAGGTTTCTGGGAATCCAGGGAGATTAGCAAGGAAGAATCCCAGAGGAGAACACTAATATCTTTGTTATAGGAACTTCAGTCCTGTAGAAGGCATGACTTTAGAAGGTATTCCTCAATTCTTCGAGACAACTAATCTCCCAGTGAAAGTTACCTTTCTTTGAATGAGTCCTTTTATAGATATATTTTTATATGAAGATAAAATATTACTTAAAATAATTATAACAACAATCTGGTAACAGTTATGTATAGTGCTCACTGAGTAATGTACAAGTCATCTTGCCAGCAACCTCCACCGCTTTGGAAAACATTCAAGAGTAAGGGAATGAGAGGAGAAGCTACTGTGTAAGCAAAATACATGCCACCAAGTGCTTGAGCAATTGTTCAAGAATCTGACTTGTAGGAAGCCTCTTGGACTTTCACTGACTATTTTTGCCCTTGCTTTAAACACAGTACTAGCACATTTACTTTGTCTGCTTTCCAGAGTCAGTAAAAATTGCTAGAGGCAGATACATTGATAGTAACAAGATGATGCAAGTGATAGCAGGGTGAAAAAGGAAAAAACAACAACAACAAAAAAACTACTACCACAAGCGGACACAACAACTCAAGAATTTAAGGCATTTACCATAGCAGTAAACAGCCCTACACAAACAACTCAGAGTCTTGGAGGTATTGCTGTCTGGCCCTTTACATAATCAGTTTTCTGATGATGACCCTGATTAATTCATGAGCTAGATATAATACTTCAATTAATTGTCTATACAATAAAGGTTTACTCTCAATGCAAGATGGAAATATTCAAACTTAAGAACAATCAGAATACCTATCCCAGTCCTAAAAACTTTCACCTTACAGAAGTGATCACTACAGGATTGCCATGTAATCTATGAGAGTCATTTAGACCTTTGAAGAAAAAGCACCTGTGGTGTATTAAAAATGTAATATGAGTTGCAAAAACCAAAATCAGTTTATATTACACAATTGCATCAAACAAGGCACATGAATATATTAATTACCTATACTGAGTAGTTATTCAGAATCTTTTTTTTTAATTTTTATTTTATACTGGAGTATAGTTGATTTTATTCAGAATCTCTTATGAAAAGTTCTACAATAGAAAGCTTAATCTATGTGGAAATAAAATTCACCCATATAAACTGAAGCAGTCAAATTGTACTCAAAGATATAGAAATGAGACTTTACGAAAGCACTGTAAAGTAATTCTAATTTAGTTTACTATTAAAATACTAAAATGTGTTTAAAATATGGATATACTTATGATTCCATATTTCAGCCTAGTATTCTGACCAGTTCAAATCAAGATAATGAAACTTTTCAGAATGGGTAATATTTTACTATATTTCCTACCATGCTTGGAGAATTTTAGAACCATTTCATTTACAGAATTTCTTCCTTCTGGGTATATGAAGCCTTAAGTTAAAAATTGTACCTGATATTACATATGAGGAAATTCACTGGTTAACTTTTGGTGCCAAACTTATTTTAATTCATCTTATCTCTATGACTATAACAAATCCCTCATAATCAGCCCTTGCTGTCAGGCATGTCCTCCTACCAGAACTTCTGTTGCATATATAAGATCAACCCTTAAAATGTTACTTTCCTTTTATAATGCCTTCATTTTTACATACTGAAATAGATTCGAAGTAATGAATCTGATCGAGCTTAGTGGTAGCTTTCAAAACTCTCACCATCTGGGCAGAACTTTTCCATGTGGTTTTCCTCCTCATTAGGGGAAGAAATGGGGAGGTAACGTCAATTTAGTCAGCAAGCAGAAAGGCTTCCCTTGTCTATTGAGACAAACCATTCAGAGTGAATGGTAGGAAAGCATAACCACTTGGAAATGGACTGTGTGATTTACTTACATGATTGAGTAGTTACCTGGTAGCTTGAGTATTACTAGTTCTGAATTCTGACAATTTTCCTTTCTGCCTCTTGTACCCAGCATCTCTGGCATTTGTAAACAAGTTTCTATTTTTCTTTCTTTCCCAATATTTCCTCCTCCCATTACTTGTATTCATTATTTCCTTTTTTTTTTTTGGAGGGAGGAGCAGGCAGGCGATCCAGAGCACAAGCTTATAACAAAAGGGATGTTAACTACATTCCAGGGACAGCATCTTACAACAATCTTACAGTCTTTCCTGGAGGAATCCACAGCTGCCCTGCATGTGTTGAAGGATTCTTTCACGAATAATCGCAACTGGTAATATCATAAGCAGAATTCTCTGTTCAGGTACTGAGTGGCTCATTCAACCCTTATGCAATTATTTCCAGACCTGCTGATTCTTTTTTTTTTCCAGAGGAGCAAGCTTATATTCATCCTCACACAAGAATGATTGAAGTATCTTTATCCGACTTGGCTGGCCTGGGAGGAATTGCTTGCAGAATTCTGTAACACATTCTAACCTGAGGCTTCAAGAATAATGTTCAACAGGACATAAGTCACATAATAGTTTAAAAACTATTTTTGACCTTGTTCTAGTGTTTCCTGGTTACTTTGGTCTCTGTTGAAAGTGGGGTTATTTGCAGGAAGCTTCATCTTAAACATAGTCCTAGGAGACCAGAAGGACTATTTCTGTCCCCTGTGTGCAGAAGTCCAGCAGCGGCCAGGGACCCAGGTCACCCATCGACCTAGGCCTCCTGTGATCTGTGAGGATGCAGGCCTAGCGATGTTCACACGAGGAGGCAAGCACACTCAGTCTTGGTGGATTCAGGAGTAAGTGGGTTTGTACAGGGAGTGAACAGTGCCTGGCACATGGCAGGTTTCAATAAATACTTATTGAAAAGATGAATGGATGACAATGAAGGAATAAATGAATGAACAGTTGATAGAGAAAGTAGGAAAGAAAAAAAAAATGGTGTGTAGGGACTGCAAAAGTGAGAAAGCCTCTCAGAAAAAGGTAGTCAGAAGGTCTCAAAGCAAACCAAGGTCTTAGTAGGAAAAAAATCAACAATGACAGAAATAATGATGAATGAAGAAACAGCTGCTAATAGGCTGGGTCCTTGGGAAGTGAACAGTAAGTTCCATGAGGTCTGATCATCATGATAATGAAAATAACAATAATGAACTGAGTTATTACTATGAGCCTGGTATTGTACTAAGTGCTTTACACAAATTTTCACTTTTAATCCTCAGAATGCTAACAAGCAGCTACTCTCATTACTCCCATTTTACAGCTGAGAACACTGAGGCTTAGAAAAGTTCAATATGACATGCCCAGAATCACATGGGTCATAGGTGGTAGAACCAAGACTCCAACTCAAGTCTATTAAAGTTCAAAGTCTATGATCTTAATCACTATGTTAAACTGCTTCCTTTACCTAGTCCCACTGCCTAGCACAGTATCTGACCTGGAATAGGCACTCGGTATGTCTGTTGAATGGACAGAGTAATGTGGGGTTATGGCACTGCTGTGAACCTGAGCAAATTCCTGTCCACCTCACTAATTTTTAGATATGTATGCATGGCCTTACATCATTTTAGAAGCTGATACATGGGTCATTAAAGGACTCAAACTCATTCTTAACGCTGGCACATTGTATTTGCCTTGTATCATTCTCCCCAAGCTAGGGTGACATCATGTTACTATTACCACCGTTTTTCAAGCATTGATAACATGCTTTATAAAGAACATACATCTAGATCCAAGAACTTTTTCAAATCTAATTAGTGTGATCTATATCCTTCTTTTGCATCTCTTTTGCATGTTGAATCATCTCTGAATCTAATGTTCCTCTTTGTCTATAATTGCTGAGACATTTACATTATGCATTTTATGGACTCTCACAGTTAAAAAGGGCTTTAGAGATACATCTCCAATCATTTCACTTTATAAATAAAACAGAAAAGAAGCCTTGACATGTGAAATAATAATTTCAAAATAACACTTTTTTTTTTGAGTACTTGTTATATGCCAGCCCCTAGACCAAGTGCTTCTCATATATCCTTATTTAACGTAATTGGTAGATATTACTACCAACTCCATTTTGCGGAGAAGGAAGCTGGGGCATGGTGATTTGCTCATGTAATAGTGCAAATAATAAATAACAGGGTCAGGATATGAATCCTGTTCATCCAAACTGAGCTTTCAGCCAATGTCCTACACCATGTGTCCAAGGTCACTTAGCTTAGCAGAGACAAAATTGAGAATGGGGTTCAAGTCTGCTGCCTCCCAGGCCAGTCTTCACTGTAGCACTTTGTTTTCGTTAATATTTTTAAGAGCAATGATACTTCTGAAACCATTTTGATCAACTGAGAACAATGTTTTGCAAAATCTGCCTTTTTCAATGTTACCCCTGATTCTACTGCTTCTTTCAGAGAAGAATGTTTTCAGTGGCTCCCAAAGTATGGCATGGAGGAATGTACACTCTCCAGACTCAAGTTCAAGAGGAAAAGTGAGCCATCCCTGGATTAAGAAGCAGCACTTACATAGATAATGGAGAGAATTCCATTATAGTTTTTGGTTGAAACATTGAGGACAATCTTTAGCTGTGAGACCAACACTTGGAAGGCAGCAGCTGTTGTGAATCCACCAACCAAAGGATCTGCCAGGTACCTCACAATGAATCCAATCTGCAAACCTCCAAATATCAACTAGAACAAGAAGAAGGAAGGAAAAATTAAATGTTTGCCTGGGAGAAGGATCAACCCTTTTGAACTATTAATGAATTAAACTTAACACCAACTAAAACTCTGGTAGCCTGCCGATAACACAAAAATACTTGTAGGAAAGAAATCTGAATTTCTTAATGCCCTCTCTCCTCCACCACTCTAAAATTTGAAAACCATGTGTAGTACGAACATTAAAGTATTTCTAGATATGTAATAAGAAAAGAAAAATTCATGTAGCTTATTTCTGTGACTTGCAGTTTCCATGGCTCTGCTCACCAGAACATTTTTTTTTCTCTTTATGGGTTCTGGCACATTTCCCTTCTCTTATTCTCATTTGAATCACACATGTTCTTCTGCCTTTTTTTTTTTTTTTCTGTCTCTGACTTTGATGATTAAATAAGCCTTAATAAGTGGGGGCTTGCTGACTATTTTAGCATCTGACCTAAAACAATATAACTTAAAAAATAACTTTGAGGGGTCGGTAAATTGATTTGTTTTACTTTTAAATGAATCTTTAAGTCCACATGCTTTACAGTTAATTCTTTCAAATACAAATCATGCCAATCTGTATATTCCTTGTAAGCCCATTACCTGTATGATTCCAACCAAAAGAGTAAGGGTGCTCGCAATCAATACTCTTGCTGCATCTCTAGCTGCAGAGTCTATCATGGTGGTATTCAGTGTAGTTCCATTACTGCTGGACACGAGAAAGTGTTCGTCGGGGGCCATGCTCAGAACAACAGATCCCACCATTAAACTGACCACTGGGAAAGGTCCTGGGGAAAAAAAGTCTCTTATCAACTAATAATTATTAATCACTTGTAAATCAACTATACCTCCATAAAAAAACTTTAAAAAATTATTATTATTAATTGCAAATGTTTAGGCTCAACATGTCTACGTAGGATTAGAAAGATGTGTGAAGTAATTAGCTGTGATTGGGAAAATACTGTTTGTTCACAAAAAAAAAAAGCTAAAAAGTAGATGCTTCAATGCATTCATGACCCAGAAATGATCAAGAGAGACATGTAGGTGGGTCATTGTAATACAGCTTTCAGACTGCTTTGTAAGCACACAGGAAGGGTGTCTAACCTATCTGTGTGTGATCTTCACGTATATGGGTGGGACATGGGGGGTGGAGGGAGGAGTTGTCAAGAAAGGTTTCCTGGCAGAAATGGCATACTAGCTGAGTCATTACTTGTTCCATCTTATTTTTATTCCAGGTAAGTTCATTTCCTAGAGCATCCAACGTCCTGACCTCTGTGGAGATAAGGACCTTGATCAATATCACCTGATCAAAATTAGGTTAAAGAAATAGCAAAGGGAGTATAGAGTTTCTCTTTCCAAGACAAATTTTTTCATATCAAATGCCAGTCTGCAAGATTCTACGTTTCAAAAGTACTTTTCTTTCAGCAGCTGCTCCATTCACTACTGATGTTTTTATCCATGATGATGATGATCCTATCCTTTGATCATGGAAGGCTTTAACAGCTGGGAGGGCTCAGTACCAAAATCCAGTAACCCGGAGTGTCTAAATGTATAGAACACCAAAGAGAAACAAATCAGCTTCTGTGTTCCTCACCTCGTCATGCATTTGATACTGATCTACTCTCCCAGGTGAGAAAGTTATTTTAGTCAATAACCTCATTCTGATCTCCTTTTATAGACAAGGCAATATGCCAGACACTGGGGGAAATACAACGAAGGATAAGGATATGGGTTGGGGATATAGTAGTAGATGGCTGCATTTGTTTCAAAAGGATTACCCAGGTACACATGTCTAGCCAGCAGATGGATGTAGGCGAAAAGTTATCTCAAGTGTAAATGTCAACGTTGCAAAATAGCATTAAAACACTCATTTACTAGAACATTTTAGCAGAAGAAAATTCAAATTTTAGGAAGTTCAGGAAATAAATCTATTTTGGGCCATACCAAGAAGGACAGCCAAGCTCAGTTTCTAAATTGTTGTGGCACGATTTTGCCAGTCTTCCAATATTAGTGACTTAAAATAAGTATGCTCTTTAATAAGACAATGAATATGTATTTGATGAACATAATTTAGTAAAAGCTAAGTTAATCTAGTAAAACAGCAGGTTCGAAGACCTCTTGAAGATTTTTTTCCCTTGTCATTTTTAATTTTAATTTTCTAAATATAGAGTCAAATGTATTACATTTTTGAAAAGCAAAACATGCTAAGATTTGAAGGTAGGCTACAATTTTTTAACAATCTTTCAATTTTCTCCTCTTCATTAAAAAAAAGGGGATAAAGTGTAAAGCTTACACTTTACACTTAAGAATCATTGCATCATTGAATAGGAAAAGCGGGTAAAGCACTGATGCCCTATCTCCCTAGAAAACATTAACAAAGATATGGAAGCAGAACACACATAATATAGCCCAAACACGTTAAATGTGAACAAATAGAATTGTATATGCTTATAATTACCAACTGAGATGTGTCTTGATGTTCCGAAGATAAAGTATGTCAGGATAGGAAAAAAAGCAGAGTAGAGACCATATCCAACAGGAACAGCAGCTAGTAGAGCATACGCCATGCCTGAAAGTACATCCAAAATGATCAAATTCAGAAACAAAAGTTATGCTTTATGTCTACGGTACGGAGAAAGGCCTTTTCACAGATCTCTTCAACTTACAGCTTATTCTGAGTGATTTCCTTACTACGCTAGGATGCAGAACATGATTCAAATCAGCTGGGATAATGATTGCAGCTCACATATCACCGGCTCAAAGGAGCTGACTCAACTGATCAGTAGCTCAATCATCAGGTGAGTGGAAAAAGAAAGTCAAGTCAGTTGTTGATTAAAAACTTGATCAATTCAGTTCAAAGGCTCAGGCTGGGTTTGTCTGAATTCAATGTTTCAGTGTTGTGAGGAACACAGTCATTGTTGCCTGCCCTTTCTCCTTTCTTGTGGGGGAACAGAAGTTAGATCCAAACAAAGAAAAAAATCTGACCTTTGTACATAGCATAGGCTCTCCACCAGGAGATCAACACCTTTGCTAGGCTATCCCAAGTGGCTTCTGGGTCCATGAATGTCACACTGTATGGAGAAATCTCAACCTTTCTGTGTACATGGCAGTGGAAGACAGTAATGTGTTGGCTTTTTGTTTGTTTGTTTGTTTTTTGCCTTAAACAACAAACATCTATTTCTCACAGTTCTGAAGACTGAGAGCTTCAGGATCAAAGTACCAGCAGTTTCAGTGTCTGGTGAGGGCCCTCTTTCTGGTTTGCAGATGGCTGCCTTCTTGTTGTATCCTCACATGGCACAGAGAGAGTGAGCTCTGGGCTCTTCCTCTTTTTATAAGGGGTCTCTACCTGATTACTTCCCAAAGGCTCCCACCTCCAAATATTATCACAATGGGGATTAAGGCTTCAAGATAAGAATTTTGGAGGAACACAAACATTCAGTCCATAAGCCCTTTCCTTCTCCTGTGGGTTTTTTTGATTAAATACTTATTAGGTAGTCAGCACATCTTACTCTATATTACCTCCCTACATTTTACTCACTCACAGTGAGAGAAAATCAAGCCCTTTGACCTTTGGGTCATTAACAAAGGATTACATTTATAACAGTAAAAAAAAAAAAAAAGTGGCAACAACCTAAATATCTTGGCCTCCGAGTGCCCAAAATTATTTATTGAATGAATGTTTCAAAACAGGGAAGTGGTTAACTAAATTATACTGTAATTCTATGAAATGAAGTTGATGTGCTGCATAGAAATAATTTACTACTAATAATTTACCTATCTCTAGTACAATAAAGTGCATATAAGATATAAGTGAGGGCTTCCCTGGTGGCGCAGTGGTTGAGAGTCCGCCTGCTGATGCAGGGGACATGGGTTCATGACCGGGTCTGGGAAGATCCCATATGCCGCAGAGCAGCTGGGCCCGTGAGCCATGGCCGCTGAGCCTGTGCGTCCGGAGCCTGTGCTCCGCAACGGGAGAGGCCACAGCAGTGAGAGACCCGTGTACCACACACACACACAAAAATCATAAAGAAATAAGTGAGTAAAGGCAGGATTCAAAATAGTGATCAGGGAATTCCCTGGTGGTCCAGTGGTTAGGACTTGGCACTTTCACTGCCATGGCCCAGGTTCATTCCCTGGTCAGGGAGCTAAGATCCCACAAGCGAGAGGGGCGGCCAAAAAAAAAAAAAAAAAAAAAAAAAAAACACACAAAATGGTGATCAGTATGCATGCTTCCACTTTTGTTAAAGTAAACGTGTTTGTCGTACGCATTTAAAAATATGAAAAGATTTAACAGAATTCAGGTATGCAAAGACTATAATATAATTAACACTCATGTACCCACCCTCTAGCTTAAGAAATAAATTATTGCCAGTACAGTTGAAACTCTCTATATACTCTTTCTCATTCACATCGTCTTTCCTCCCTCCACCCTCAGGAATCAACCACTATTCTGAATTTAGTGCTTATCATTCTCAGACATTTCTTTATACCTTTATGTAGATGTGCATTTATGTGTCTAGTAGGATATTTACTAAAATATGGGTTTAGTGGGTTATCTATATGCTAGGATCAAAGGAGACTTCTCACTTGTTGAAGAGGTATTTTTTTCATGTTCCTTATATGTATTTTCTAGTTTCCCACAATAAACATTCATTCATTCATTCATTCAGCAACTATTGATTATGTACCCTCCATGTGCCAGGCACTGTTCTAGGTTTGGGGGAATATGGGAGTGGACAAAACAAAGTCTCTGCCCTTAGAGAGTTTTCATTCTAGAAGAATCTGTATTACTGATGCAAATGTTTTCATATAAAAATTACAAAAAGGAATTGCAATAAACAGTCACCCCAAGAGCATAGAGTAGAAAGGTGAGGCCACAAAGGGAAGACAAGAAAAGAAGGAGCAAAAACAAAAGCAAAAAAAAATTTTTTTTTAAATATTAAAAAATAAAAGAGGGCTTCCCTGGTGGCACAGTGGTTGAGAGTGTTTTTTTCAAGTATTTGTATTTTTTTCAAGTCTATGTATTATTTTCAAGTCTTTCTCAAACTTCCACTTGCCTAAACTGGGCTCTGCAGTCCTTACAGGCCTGGAAAATGGGGGCTTTTTCAGTTTTCACAAAGTATCCTATTTCAGGACAACTGCTACTCAGATATACTGTAATCATATTATAAGGGAATTTGGTACAATTTTGAAATTACATAATTTGTAAAGAAATCTAAGCCATTGATTTAAACTATGGAATCTCTTGTGTTGGCACCCTTCCTATGTAGGATGGTGGCATGTATTGATAAAGGTGCTAGCAAACATTCGGAAGCATCTAGAAGGCAAAATTATCCATAGAAAGTAGAGAGCAGGTTCCCCATAGGTACGATTAAAAATAGCACTAGGGCTTCCCTGGTGGTGCAGTGGTTGAGAGTCTGCCTGCTGATGCAGGGGGCGCGGGTTTGTGCCCTGGTCTGGGAGGATCCCACGTGCCGCGGAGAGGCTGGGCCCGTGAGCCGTGGCCGCTGGGCCTGCGCATCAGAAGCCTGTGCTCCGTGACAGGAGAGGCGGCAGCGGTGAGAGGCCAGAGTACCGCAAAAAAAAAAAAAAAAAAAAAAAAAAAAAAAAAAAAAAAAAAAA